TGTCAATTTGGCTGAATCAGCTTCCGCAGATCTCAGCGTGGGAGCCTAGCCCTGCAGGTAAGCAGGGCCCAGGAATGGAGAAAGGCTTCCCGCCGCCCTACCCGGCTTCCTGCCTGTCGCCTGCCCTGCTTCTATGGAGAAGTCCCATTCTTTGAAGGAGCTTCATCTTAGGAGCCAAGCCACTTTGGAGCTCCGGTCTCCGGTCTCTGCACACAGCGTAGAAGGAAGAGAGAGGCTTGGTGGACGCTGCCGCAGCTGCTGCTCCTCTTCTGCTCTTCATTGTTTTCTGCCGCATGAACTGCTGATGTTTGCCCTGGAGCCAGCGGAATATGGACTGAACCCTCCAGTGTCTGTGAGCTACATAAACCTTTCCTTCCTTCAAAAAAAAAAAAAAAACTCAAAAGAAGAAATAAAACCTGAAAGATATAACAGATACTACAAAGCAGAAAGAAATGGACCATAAGGATTAAAAAATGAAGAGGAGAGAAAGGAGAAAGGATAGGAAAAAAGGTAGGGGGAAAAGACATGCAAGCATATATACAGGATGAGTGAGGTGATTGCACTAAGAATTTCCATCAGCGTTTTGAAAACAGCACTCAGTGTATAGAACTTTCACCCTGACTAACTTTCGAAATGCATGCCATTCCTAATGTTATATCAATTACTCTTTTAAAAATACATTTTTTAAAAAGTTAATAAAAGAGAAAATGAGATAAGAACAAAAAATTACGATTTCTTGGCAGCAGTAGGTAACATTCAATCATATGTCCACTCTTACATAACTGCATCTGTTAATTTGAGTAACAGATTTGCCAATAAAAATAGATAATATGTCAAGCATTGTTGATCAGCTATTTTTGTTTTGAAATTTGTAACACATGTATTGTTGCATGTTACCATGTTTCTCCTTTTGTTTCTGATATTTTGTTCTTGCTTTTGTTTCTACTCTTCAAAATAAAAGAATAAAAATATAAAAAAATAAAGAATTTTCTAGAGTTCAAATTATTGGCGTGCTCCCTGAGAAGCAGTGGGCACTTTTGTGGAGCAGCAGGATTTTCAGAACAAGGAGTTGTAAACATCAAAATAGAAGCGCGTCAGGCCTACGCCTGTGTTCTTTCTTCTTCCTGTGCACCAGGCACTCTCTCTTTCCCCCACACGCCCATTGAGAACACATCCATCGCAGCGTGGCTCCCCCAAGGGCGAGCGGAGGGAGACGGTGGGGTCCTGCTTCTCAGGGTTTCAGCCTCCAACTGAGAGCGAGATTAAGCCCTTCGCAGCACGCGTTATCCAATGTATGGTATTTGGTTAAAGCATCAGAAAACCGATAGAAACCAGGTACAGTTATGTCCTTGGGATGTCCTTGGGATACATGTATCACTTCAGGGTAGGATTTTATCAGTGGGAAAGTTGTGCATGTATGAGATAGGAGAAAATTTAAAACTCTGCAGGATCAGTAAATTATTATTAACCTAAAACTCCTTCAGTAAATGACATCTTCTAAAAACTTGTTTTAAGATTATGGTAAAAAATT